TTTTATTTTATATATAGTGCAGTGCATTAGTGTGAGCTGGCACAAATGTTCATAAGCATTTTCTATGCATTCGGACAGGGTTTTGCACAATGCAGCCCATGCATATGGTGCAAATAGTGCTATAGTCCTTAAGCGACACCCTTCATTCCTCCCTAACTCTGACTGAATCTGTTTACATTGGCTGTTGGAAGTTTTAGTTTACAGAGAGATATGGAAGGGAAACGTTTTTTCAGTGCTTTCTTGAAAACGCATAGGGTTTTGTGAAACCATCATCATGATGTGAACACTACATGAAAGAATGAGGTGCCACATTGATTGAACATAAGTGCCCTTCATTCGTTTGTGGTTCTTTTTCCTAAACTGAACCTAATCTCACCACACCCTCCATCAGAGGCATACTTACCTTGATACAAGGAGCTGATGCCCTCTAATGTCTATTAAATCCAACTTTGCTTGCTCCACACTCCTGGCCAGATCTGTGTCATTGCTATCCCCAGTAGACCTTTCAAGGGGCTGTGTCCCAAAGATGGAAACGTAAGGAAGACAGGCCCATAAAAGTCCAGGGGACTATAGATTGCAGACATGACCTGTGATTAAGTAAAAACTAGTGCGTACTAGAATACTAAACAAATAGATAAACAGGACAATGGAAACCACAGCCAGTGTGTGTCCCAAGGTAAGTTATTATATCATGTGGAAGCAGCGGGGTGGGTTAGCTGTCTAGGTCAGGAGAATGTGCTCATAATAAGGATGATGGCATCTTTGGGTATTTATGAGTAGCGCTAGTTTTTTAAAATACATTATAATGTAGGAAAAGTAATTTTATATATATAGAAAATAGATATAATACATAATTCAGAAAATGTAAAACATGAGAAAAGTATGAACCTTTCGAGATCATTATAGATATGAATGGAAATAGTAAGTATTTTCTTGTAGCTCACTATGTATCTGTAAAAATGCAGAATCTAGGTCAGTAGGATTCATAGGGTCATTAGCAAGCGTTTCCTACTAAGAATTTAGTATTTTGCATGCTACAGGACGGAAAGAAGTTGCCGTCTGTTGTCCAAAAACTTTGTAAAACAACCAATTGCTGTGCATGCTTACTATTAGTTTCTATAACTGTAACTATGAATCCGAATAAGGTCGTTTACTCAATGCCTACATCCAACATTTATTATGAAACCTACAGATAAATGTAAAGTCCATACCTTTACAAATCTTTACTGGGCATCAGAGGAGAGAACCTTGCAGAAACAGTGTGCTTAAAAAGCAATCCATACAGGTTGTTATCAGAAACTCAATTGTTGTTTATATTATAAAACTCTTCTCTCTCTTTCTCCTTCCCCTCCCTCTCTCTCCCCCTCTCTCTCTCTCATCTCTATCCTCTGCGTCTTCTCGATATATATTACAGTTGTGGTCCAATAATTATTCAACCCCCACTGAATTGAGTGTTTGGCCATGTTTTGACATTGCCTTTTGGAGCATTCAGTCATCTTGCTTACGCTTTTTACATTAAAGGAGGCACTTGTAGGTCTGACCAAATATAACATAAAACAGTTATAATGAAAATACCCACAAATGTCCTTTCTCTGTGCTCACAGCTTTGATCAGTTTTATTCCAACCACCATGTGGACATTCAATTCTTAGTATCTTAGTTACAGCATCCTTTTACAGTTTATAACTGCTTTTTAAACGTGGAAGCATAGGCTTGACACAAGTGTCTTGCAGAGAATGCGGGGTTAATCTTGTCCGGCCCATTCTTCATGGGGCAAAGGCCTCTCAGATTCGCAGTCACATTCTTAGGCTTGCGCACTGCAAATGACTTTTCTTTAAGTTCCCACAGAGGTTCTCAATCGGATGTAAGTCTGGTGAATCTGCGGATGGCCACTCTCAATAATGTACCCGCCTTTCCTTCTGCATACCGATTGCTCCTAGTGGACGTGGAGGTTATGCTGGGATCATTGTCTGTGGAATAGGTCCAACGTCTCAAAGCCTAAGTGTGTTGTGTACCGGATCTGCATCACGTTTTCCATCCAATATCTCATGTGGGTTACTGAAAGAGTATTCAGGGTACTTGCATCACGCTGAAGCTTCCTGTACCTTGCAGTAAGCAATATAACGCAGCCCCACAGCATGATTGACCCTCCACCATGCTTCACTATTAAGGAAAGGTGTCTCTGTTCATCCATTAGCCTTGGTTCTCCATCCTCTCAAAACAAGAGCGGATGATCGCTATGGGCCCAAAACAGTTCTAACTTTTGTTTCATCATTGCCACAGAAACACTATCCCTCAACTTTTCGGTTGTGAGTTTGGTCCAATGGCTTTGTGGGAGCTTACGGCAGTCGACTCTTCTTATTGCTTTGGAGACAGCAAGGGCGGTACGCCTGGGAGTTCTGGCACGGGAGGCCTTCATTACGGCATGTGTGCGTCTATATTGTTCTGGGCTGAAACTTCTGCTAATCCCACATCTGGACAAAATCTTTGGTGCTGGCGCGAGTTCCTCTGCAGTCACTCGGGGGACTTGCTGCTCCACTCTTAGGCTTCAGGTAGAGCACAGGCGTGTCTGAGAGTCAGGCATTCTACTTTCTGCCACGACCAGGGTAGCGTTTCAACGGTGCCCTTGGCCTTGACAGTTGCGACTGATGCGCGTTCCTAAGGTGGTCTCTCTTGGTCATGTTTAAACACTCTTTGCAAATCTTCTTATAGGGCAATTTAGCCTTCCTGTGATGAGAAATCACCTCTTCTCGTGTCTGCCTGGACCATTCTCATGCCTTCAGCATGTTTGTAACGACACCAGTAAATGTCTAGAAGGAGTTGAGTTATCACAGTCATGGTAAAGCTGCTTGAGATTGGTGACTTATTATGACTTGATTGCTGCTCCGGGTGGACATACCCACAGGTGATTTTCAAATACCTGATGGAAAGCTCCTGTATGAACCTCGGTTCTTCAGAGTGGTAGTCTTTAAGGGGCTTGAATAAATTGTTGCAATGAAGAAATCCTCATAAGATCACCATTTACTACTGTATTACATAAAACAATTGATGTCATTTTTAGTGGCCATTTGCGGTTAGTTATCAACGTCCTTGTAGGTATTTGATTCTGAATACAATTCCAAAATGGTCCACTATAGTCCCTAATACCCCTCCTTTACAGCATTGGGGGGTTGAATAATTTTGGGACACAACTGTTGTATATATAGTTATAAATTAGTATATATATTTTATTATAATCATGTGGAAGTGGTTCTCTAATGGAGGTTCTCTATAAAGTCCGCCTTATACCCTACTAGAAAAATGTTTTTCGAGGTGGTCTTTTTGTTCAATGATGTTTTATTTGTTAATTAATTGATGTTTGTAACAAATTTGTATGAGGTTTTTAAAAAATTGGTATTGAATAATTCTTGAGAATGATTTTATACACATGTTTTCTGCTGCAATGGTTTCCCTCTGTGCCAAGTAAAGTCATTATTTTACTTGGCAAGACACAGTGAGGGCTTTCTGACATTTTCCAAGACTAATATATAAAAACATTTTAGACAGGTGATGAATGTGGAGCGGCTCTTCAAGACCTTTGAGTCATAATACAAATGGCATGGGATTTGAGAAATGATAAAAGGGCACAGCTCTCCCTGCCTGATGCATTATTGGGGGTGGGAAAGAAAGCTCAGTCTGAGGCTCAGGCTTATCTCAATAAATAAAGTAAGTTTGCTTATTCCAGCAAAACCTCTCTGACATGTGAAGTAAATCAAGAGAACGCTGACAGCACAAACAACCTGGAAAATCCATGTATTCAGCTGAAATTAAATGAAAGCATAAATCACAAAGAACATACTTTTATTTTAGAAACATTTCAGCATTCATCAGTATTACCTTCACTGCAAATGTTTTCCAACTGTCCAGAAGCTGATTTCTTACAGCCGTTTGTTTTCTGTACATGTGCGCTGTAATTTAACTGGACAAACAGGTGTTAATACCTTTCATAGCAATAACCACCAGGACTCAGGCTGGCTGAGTGTGCTATAGTGTGACCCTGGATCCAAGGCTTCAGGATTTATAATTCATGAAAAGCAAACACGAACATTGGTTCACATTGCATTTACAGTTTGGCATCATGGTGACAGTTTTCTAAGATAAAAATACAGATCTCTATCTCAAGCCAATAATCTGTACCCAGAAGCACACAAATCATATCCTGTTTCAAGCTGGAGTCCTGTTTCCTTAGCCAGAACCATGGGAATGTATACATTTCTCTTCACCTAATTAACAATATAACAAAAAAAAAAAGCAGCAGTAGGTGACCCCAGTGTACTTTGATGTCACCCAAAAAGGGAAGCTCTACCAGTGATTCTGAAAAAAATGATACATTCTTGAAAAAATAACAGTTCAAATTGAAAAATTGGTTCAAATCAACCAATAACAATTTTATACTCTTTTTAAACAAGTGTGCTATGAATCGTAACTGCACATACATTTAAAAGTTGCCTGGTGTCGGGAAATGAGACATTTGACACTGTAAACATTTCAGGCTTTTGTAAATAAATAGAAATATGCAATGGGCCCAATGACCCTCTGTAGGAGATCTTGAGACTCCCCTATCGACTGCTTGTGGCCATAGACTGGACATACTTGACATCCTCATAATAGTGTGATTTGTGTAATGTGTGAAATTAATATTCGTAAGTGTAAATCCTTACAAGTGCATACAGCCTATGACAGGGCTTGAAATTTCCACTCGCCTGCTCGCCAATGGCGAGTGGCAATTATGGTGGGGGCGAGTGTGTCCCCCAGGGCTGTCTTGCTGAGCAGGCTTGGAGCTCATACTGGATCTGTCATTGGCACTGGGAGCCGTCAGACTGCTCAATAGCTGAGCACAGTGAAAGAAAAGCAAGGAGTGTGTGCTGTGTTCTCTGCCTCCCCCTAGAGTGCAGTACCCAGATCTGTGCGTGAACAACGAAGTACTGCAACTTTTTATGGGGGGGGGGGGTGTGTGTACGTGTACATGTGTGTGTATATGCATGTACAATTGTACATGTGTCTGTGTGTATGTACATGTGTGTATCTTTACATGTGTCTGCGTGTATGTACCTGTATGGGTGTGTGTACATGTGTCTGTGTGTGTGCATGTACATGTGTGTGTTTGTGTGTATGTACGTACATGTGTCTGTGTGTACATGTGTCTGTGTATGTATGTACATTTGTCTGTGTGTATGTACATGTGTCTGTGTGTATTTCTGTGTATGTACATATATCTGTGTGTATGCGTGTCTGTACATGCCTGTGTGTGTATACATGTGTCTGTATGTGTGTGTGTACATGTGTCTCTGTGCGTGCGTTTCTGTGTGTGTGTATGTACATGTTTGTGTGTGTGTACAGGTGTCTCTCTTTCTGTGTGTTTGTTGGTGGCGAGTAACTCTAAGGCCTGGCTAGTAGCTCAGGACTTGAAACTTTAAGCCCTAAGACTTTCATGTAGATAAATGGAAGTCAGTGTTCTTTATATCTTGTGTTGTGTATATGTGTTCCACTATACGATCAATAATTAATTATTAGATTGGTATAAACTTCTTACATACATGCATACTTTATACATGTGGTTATATTCAGAAGGGATATGTCCAGACATGCCCGGCTCATAAGAGACTTGTTTACTCCAAAAAAATTGGGATTGTCATTCTTGTTAAAATGTTTCCTGATGCCACTTTGGGGACTTTCCATTTGAGTTGGTTAGGGACATCGAGGCCTTATCTAACCTGGAGCATCTGTCCCTCTGGCTCTGAGGAAGAGGAGACTGCTCCTCAAAATGCGTCAGCCATCTGGAGGGTCCTCTCAGGACTAGGAGCTGATCTGGTGTACAGGTTGCTTTGAATTTGATTTGCCTTTGTTATCACAGTGATTGTGAGTATATTTCTTCTTTGGATCTAATAAATATATTGTGTTAGGTAATGCACTAGGTTGGTGCACCCTCTATTTTCCTTGTTCCTACAGTTATCATTTCTGGGTTCTCCCCCCGACCCCTAGAGGGCAGCAAGGATTGGTGCTAGCAATGGATGTATGAAGGACAAGATACAGTTCCATCATAGTATACCACTCTCGAGCGCAGGAGACTGTTTCCTTTCTATTTTCACAAGGGACCCTCCCATCTGGCCTAAGGGAGGGTCCATAAATATGTACTGATATGAGTACCACTTGTTCACCACACATGCAAGTCATCCGGATTGGTGTAGTGCTAGCGGCCATCTTAGGATAGTCTTATAAGACTCTGTGGGAGATGTCTACCATTTCATGGAAGGTCTAATATTACCTATCTTAAGCACTAGTCATGTGTAAGGAAGTAATGTCTAGAAGCATGTTATATGTGATTGGATGATATCTAGGAAACATATAATGTTATTGGACATATTTCAGTCCTCAGTTTAATTGGATAAATCTGAAGTATGTATGGTAATTGGTCAGTAGTTAATTAGCCAATAGGAATTAGAGTTTACTTACTATTTTGATGTACTAAACATACACTATATTTCCAAAAGTATTGGGACATCTCTCCAAATCATTGGATTCAGGTGTTCCAATCACCTCCATGGCCACAGGTGTATAAAATAAAGCACTTAGGTATGCAGACTGCTTCTACAATCATTTGTGACAGAATGGGTCACTCTCAGGAGTTCAATGAATTCAAGCGTGGTACCATGATAGGTTGCCATCTGTGCAATAAGTCCATCTGTGAAATTTCCTTGGTATAAAAAAGTAGAAGCAACTGGGAACAACAGCAACTCAACCACGAAGTGGTAGGCCACGTAAAATGACAGAGCGGGATTAGCACATGCTGAAGCACACAGTGAGCAGAAGTCACGGACTGTCTGCAGAGTCCATAGCTAAAGACCTCCAGACTTCGTGTGGCCTTCAGATTAGCACAACAGTGCATAGAGAGCTTCATGGAATGGGTTTTCATGGTCAAGCAGCTGCATCCATGCCTTACAGCACCAAATGCAATGCAAAGCGTCAGATGCAGTGGTGTAAAGAACGCCTCCGTTAGACTCTAGAGCAGTGGAGACATGCTTTCTGATGTGGCGAATCACTCTTCCCTGTCTGGCACTCCAATGGATGTGTCTGGGTTCGGCAGTTTTCAGGAGAACAATACCCATTTAGCAAAAAGACATCCTGCACAGCAAATAGACAGCCCGTTCAGCAAAGAGATAGCCCATTCAGCAAAGAGACAGCCTGCATATCAAAGATACAGCCTGTACAGAAAAGAGACAGCCCATCAAACAAAGAGACAGCCCATTCAACAAAGAAACAGCCCATCCAGCAAAGAGACAGCCTATCCAGCAAAGAGATATACCCGTTCAGCAAAGAGACAGACCATCCAGCAAAAAGACAGCCCATTCAGCAAAGAGATAGCCCATTCAGCAAAGAGACATCCTGCCCAGAAAAGAGACAGCCTGTTCAGCAAAGAGACAGCCCACCAAGAAAAGAGACAGCCCGTCCAGCAAAGATACAGCCCTTTCAGCAAAGAGACAGCCCCATCCAGCAAAGAGACAGCCCATTCAGCAAAGAGACAGCTCACCCAGCAAATAGACAGCCCAATCCACGGCTGAGCTGTAACAATGTGCCGGTGGGTGAAAGAGAGAGGCCACCATTGTCCCTTCAGTGCGGCTGTGTGCAGCGGCCGGTAGGGGCCCTCAGCGGCATTTCCTGTTTCTGGAGCCATTACTGCAGCTCCTCCCATTGGCCCTGCTTTGGGCATAGCTGGACAGTGGGAGGTGAGTGGCAGCCACGGTCTGTGTTAGCTCTGTTCAGTCCGTGGCCACCGCTTACCTCCTGCTGTGCAGCCCGGTCATCAACAGGCCGTTCTTCTTCAGCCAGTGGCCCCAGCCCACTGGGCAAATGCCCAGTGTGCCCTATGGCCAGTTCGGGCCTGCCTCAACCTGATAGAACACCTTTGCAATGAATTAGAGTGGAAACTGCAAGCCAGGCCTTCTCAGCCGACATCAGTGCCTGACCTCAGACATGCACTTCTGGAAGATCGGTCAAACATTCCCATAGATACACTGCTAAACCTGGCAGACAACCTTCCCAGAACAGCTGAAGCTGTTATAGCTGCAAAGGGTGGGCCAACTCAATATTGAACCTTACAGACTAAAACTGGGATGCCATTAAATTTCATGTGCATCTAAAGGCAGGCGTCCCAGTACTTTTGGCAATATAGTGCATATAAACTGCTGCAAAACTGATATAGATTTGTAGATCTAATATCTGACTCCCTGCATGCATTATGCTGTGTGCACAATAAATCCTTATCTGATCGAAGACCACCTGCATCCTGGTTCTTGACTTTGACTGCTGCGGGAAAAATCCACTTATTGTTTTTCACCCCAGTGTTCTCATCTAGACTGTTAAAACTGGTAAAAGGTGAGAGCTAATTAAACACTGGTTACTGCTTGTAATTGTTTTTGGCACCATAGCACTAGATTACACAGCATGCTATAATAATATATTACAATTTAATTTTCCTTTTTCAATATATGGTATTCAGCATACAGATCTGACATATTATATTAAGCCCACCCTCTCTCTAAATAGCATTAAAAACTCCTGCAATGGCTGATTTACTAAAGGCAAGTATAGGTGAATATTCACTTTAAAAAGAATACATGATTACATGCAAAAACAAAAATATATATATATTTGCTTGCACATGAATGGATGATGGAATTTCCACATTCACTAAGCTACAGAAACAAATCCCTTGCTTTTAGGAAATCAAACCCAATGTCTCACTAGACTTCCCTTACTGAACATCTACTTTACACTACCATGTCACGCACATCATGCCCTGGTACCAAATTGTGACAGAGAGATTGGTGGCAGAGGTAGACTATTGTAGGGTACAGTGAATTTATGATAGTGGCAGGCAATAGTGACAGTGAGGTTTACTTACCAAAGGCAAATAAGATGTTCATACTACAAGGTAAATTGTAATTTGCAAGGGAAATTATTTATTTATTACAGACACTTATACAGGACCATCAATTTACGCAGTGCTTTACATGTATACAGTACATATATATTGCACATTCACATTGGTCCCTAACCCTCAAGGAGCGTACAATCTAAGGTCCCTAACATATTCATACATACAGATACTAGGGACAATTTACACAGGAGCGAATTCACCTACCAGCATGTCTTTGGAGTATGGGAGGAAACCAGAGTACCCAGAGGAAACCCACGCACGCATAGGGAGAACATGCAAACTCCAGGCAGACGGTGTTGTGGCTGGGAATTGAACCAACAACCCTAGTACTGCCAGGTTGAAGTGCTAACCATGACTCATATTCATACATATCCATATTAGGGCCAATTTATATAGGAACCAATTAAACTACCAGCATGTATTTGGCGTACCAAGAGGAAACCCACGGAGGCACAGGGAGAACATGCAATCTCCAGGCTGTGGTTGGGCTTCGAACCAACGACCCTAGTGTTGCCAGGCGGAAGTGCTAACTGAAAGGATCGATTTTCTTTATCCCCTCAGATTCCTGGTTTATCAGCAGAATTCTGAGAACACCCTATGAATACGGAATAACAGCAGGCAGCTTTTGTTCAAAGATGTTCAAAGTTTATTAGACATTACTAAGGTTATATAGGATACAGAAAAAATAAGGGAGGGGGGAGTGAGTTTCAAAACTGTAACTTTGTAAGTTTCCATCATGAGCTAACTACATGAAACATGACATATACATTTCTTGGTATAAACTGTTTTTGCTAGCTTTCTTAGAATCAGCTGGACACAGAAAGTTTTAGGGTCATCTTATCATTGTTTATACATTCTATTGCAAGCTGAAACAGTTTCATTAAACTTCCAATATATCTGCAAAAAGCTAACTTAATACTTAAATTGGCATACTTCAACAAAATGGAGGTTATCTAGATCCTTTCAATCCCCTCTTAGATCATGAACATGATCTCAATTCTTTACCTCATTCACCTTTTTGTACATAGCCAGATAACCTTCATTTGTATTTTGCGGCTTGGTAGCTCTAGCAATGCAATATAATAAGCATTTAAAACATAGGTATAAAAATAAAACAAAAAGCATTATCATGACTATGCTTACAGCGATACCTTTTATCCATGAAAAGACGGAACCAAATCCTGATCCTAGCCAATCAAAAG